TACATTTTTCTTTGACACGGTCTCACCACATGGTCGTGACGTGTCTGGACGTTATGACACTCGCAGCGGCCCATCGACGCGCAAATCCTCCGACACACCGCACCAAACATTATTAGACCTTCCTGAAATGTCAGACGGTCCAGCAATGCTGTTCACGCCCGGCAAGCCACGTACACGGACGCTGACGTGCATGAATTAGCGATCGGAACTTCTTGAGGGAGAATTTTGTTTGTTAACGGATATCGCCGCGAAAATCGAACGCGGAGAGTCGATGGGGACTGTAACTTCTCAATATGAAAGTTAAAATGTTTTTTTTTCAGGGGATTCGTTTTGAATAATGATGTTTGATAAGTTCACACTGTACATAGAAACCAATGGTTAATTAATTGGTTATTATGTTTTTAGGGAGAAATATCTTTGAATTTTATGTAAGGAATTGTAAATTGACATTTGGATCACACTACTGCGTAAACGAATGTTCATGTATATTAGAAAAACATTTCTGAAAATTTATGTAAGATTTATTATTAATTTCTTTCACTTACATTTGCTCTTAATTTGATTGAGAAAGTATTTCTCAGATAGCATTGACCTCAGGGCAATATGGCTGCCATGCTGGTCTCTCTATGCTACAGATAGAAAACTATATAGGCGTCTGGTGTTTATTTCAAAAAATTCTTTTTAAGTAAATTTATAATGACATTTGAATTAGCTATGTTCATGTGTATTAGAAAAACATTTCTGAAAATTTATGTAAGACTTATTATTAATTTCTTCCACTTACATTTGCTTTTAATTTGATTGAGAAAGTATTTCTCAGATAGCATTGACCTCAGGGCAATATGGCTGCCATGTTGGACTCTCTATGCTACAGATAGAAAACTATGTAGGCGTCTGGTGTTTATTTCAAAAAATTCTTTTTAAGTAAATTTATAATGACATTTGAATTAGCTAATTACAAGTTCTCACATACTCTATTCATAAGTCATATTTATTTATATATTATTAAATTATTTCTTATTATGTGTACATGTTTTATTACAAGCCATTATAGAATAATAAAAAGTACCAAACAACGATTGTTTTCGCTAATAAGGAAAATGAATGTCAACTCTACACCAGTAAAATTTAATTCTATTATTGGCTAATCGATGAACTATTTTTACTATAACTTTCAATATTACACATTAATTGTACTGTTAAATTTCATACGTATAAATAACGAAAATCCATAAACCTAACCTAATAAAGTATTTTGTAACTATGGGGCGACCAAAAATAATCCATCGAAAGATCGAAAAAAACATCCTAGAACCACGCCGTAGACGAGTTCACATTTCAAAACAGTTCAAGAGGAAGCTTTTCCATACCTGGATTATACAGAGTATGGGCTTTAGCCCTGCGCGTCTAGTCTGCTCATCACGAAGGCCGTTTCCCGAATGCTCCAAACTCATCGAAAACGTCATCCGTGGATGACGCTCCACCCTTTACGCGTATTCCCTAACAACGAGAGACAACGAATCGCTCTAGTAAAGTTGATTAAAGAAACCTGTAAGCGGCCTTCGCTTCTGAACCGGAGAAAACAGCGTGACGAGGGAACGGCGGAACAAGGACTGTCAAAGCGCGGCGGAATGTAAGTAAAACGAGGTTATATTTATCGTCGGTTTGACCGAAACACGCGTGTTTCTTGGGGGTTGTATCGTCCCCCGTCGACGACAAACGCCTTTAAAGTTTAAAGGGAAACTTTCGTTGGTCGGGCAGACGAATTAATCACACGTGGCTCCCGTCTGAACTCCACGGCGCATTTAATTCGTCGGAATTTACTGCACGCCAAAGTTTACGGCACTTTGGAATTCACGATTCCACTTTCCACGCAATTAGCGCCTCGACTACGTAATGCTCGTCCGTCTCGCCCGGCGGTTTTAATAATTCCCGATGCAGGCTACCAGCGGAAATTTTTGAATTCTATGCAGGCACCTTGCCCGACCGTTGCGGATAAACAACGAGTCGAAATTTCTGTATTCAGGCATCATAAAAGTCCGACGTAATACATATACCATAGAGTTGTTTGATAGTCATGATGCCCTCCCATCATCCACAGCCGCGAGGTGTTCATTAATTCGAATGAAATTGTGCTGTCTGGAGCACCGTAAATTATAACATCTTCCGTAATTTAACGTAAACGTACCCAAGACTCTCATTATCCTCGAAACAACGGATCCACCTGCATTCTGGCGCAACCAACAGACGTTTTCTACTGTGCTGTGCGCTATTCGCACCCTTGCTCCGAGAGCTGGTATCTGCGTCCAAATCGATACGCCTAACCTCTGACCTATTATCACGGACCCGCTGGTAAGTTGTTCGTGGATATCGTTTGCACAAAATTTACCTCACGATGGGCTCGGGAAGTTATTCGATAAATTACCAGGTGACTAACGTACGGTCAAAGGCACATCCTCTCGAAGCCTGTAACGACTATCCATTTTAATAATAGTAAAGTACTGGACAATAAGTTAAATTGACTTTGAGAATGGTACATTAAACGGTCAACGATTTTTCTTTTTATGAAATGACTCGAATATAGAAACACAAATAGAACTTTTGTATGATACTCGGAATTCCATTGTTCGATGGATAACCCTTTCGTTCGCACTGTAGTTATATTATAAATTACGAAATAAAGTAAATAGTTACGTATAATAGTTTCTTCTAATCTTGTATGGATGGTATGACTCATACTTTAACATGCATTTGGAAGTTTATCGATAAAATAAGTCATTATGTCCTTTGTTTCTTTATAGTTGTTAAATAAATCGGGAATTAGTTACGCACAGACTGTAATTAAAACGGAAACTCTAGAATCAAGCCGTAAATATTAGGGGTATGCGAGTACTCGAATTATTCGAAAAAGATCACGAATAACTTGTACAGCAAATACATTCAATTCACACCTGGAAAGTAGTACTTCTACACCAGGTCAAACGACTTTTCCTTCGTCCAGTAAAAATGTAACGAAGACACTGCTGGTACGACTTTTGCAAACGACCCAATACATATTTTTTTATAGATAAAAATATCGTTGAAGTTTCTATTAAATACACATTTTTTATTATTGCAATGGCGCTAGGAAAACCATCATGCTCGGTTTCCGCACCCTTTACATCGTCAATATACACAAACTGTAATAAGAAGCAGAATATGAAAACTATTTGTCGGTGGATTTGAAACGGAGATAAGCCAAGATATCTATGTTTTTTGCGTTTGTCGATTTATGAAAGTCTCGTTAAAATCTCCGGTAACACTGCCTCGCCGTTTTAACGTTTAGGCATGGAAAAGCATCGTGAACGCGAACGCAATTTAATTTCATTTACCTGGAGATTTAAAAACAAGAAAAAAGAAACAGAAACTGGAGTGATCCATAAACATTGGCGCCGAATAAAATTGTATCAGCGGATTATGTTTCAATAACAAACTCCGTTTGCACAACCGCTACGAAATGAAATTATCTCCCTGCCTTTTCACGTCATTTATCGTTTAAAAGCGTTAGTCCCTTGTACGCGTCAAAAGCATATGTTACGTTTACCCGAGGCAACTGGGGCCGAGCCACGCAAATCGGGTACACGTTTAATCAACACTCACACACACATACGTACACACGATCTTATTTAATGTTATAGAAAAATATACGTTGTTCGACCAAATATTCATTGTTTTTCATTTTATTATCGAAGTACAAAAATTCAAAGGTTTTTTGTAAAAGAAACACGGGCTCCTGTTTATATTGTGGAACAAGTCGTAAAATATCCTATACACCGAGGCTACAAAAACTGCAATGTTCTCTGATTTTATCGCTGTTGAGGAAACTTCTGTGTTTTTATCGTTATCTCTACTTCTGTCATACCTACAAACTGTGTACGTTCATCTTATGGAAGGTATATCATTTCTGTGCGGCGAGATAAGCTTATGTTATTTGAATAATTATTATGATAATTATTTTCTGGGAACACGTAGAACAGATTGGGGCACCACTTGGAAATTGTATTAACGTATTAGGCAAATGAATATGACTGTTTTGTTTTATTCATTTCGTTTTTGATGAAAACGTTTTGACGTCCGATGTGTGTACAATTTCTTAAACAGACATTAGGTACACTCAACTATCAAAGCTATGTTACAAACTGTTAAAACATTTTTTATTTTCTGATCACAAAAGATGACAATGACATTGATCAGAAACGTTCTTGAACGATTGAAGATTATTGAATAATTTCATCAATCATCGTTTCACTTCTTAATCCTCTATTCTGCAAATAGCTATTTTTGCACTAACATTTTACACCTTAACTCTTCACATATATTTCTTTCAGCGTTGGTCAAAATATTGTTTCCATGTAATACGTGAATAATATTCCATACGCAGAATATTAATGATGCTATTAATTAGTGATTCTTTTAGTGTTTCGACCAGCTCAGAAAATATGGAGCGAGGTTGGGTGGCCAAAGAAAACTGGACTCCTGGTGGTCGTGGTCGGACACAATTTATTTGCTCGCGGGCTCGTCACAGTAAATACTTTACACGCGTAGACGATTACACTCGAAACAATAGAGATCACAGCACGATTGACAATTGCGACGTTAGTCAGTGTTTAAACAAAATCTAATTAATATTAAAATTAAACCTAAAAAATTATTATCCTTATTAACAATATATAATAAAAACGAAATAAATAAAGTACAAATAAATATTATACAAAACGATACTGTAACAGTATCTACAAGATTTTATTAATGCGAGAGTTGCTTGGTATAATATGCAAGCAATAAACGGTCTCGGTACGTGTTTTCAGTCATGGAATTCAACCCTTACTATCCGCGAGAACTATGTGTACGTAAAGCTCGTGCCCATTTAGCCTAATGCCGCCCCGAACTTTTCGTTTCTTTTCTTTTTTTTTTTACTGCCGGCAAGTTTTCACAGCAATCGTTATCCTTTTATATTGCAGATCCGGCGGAGGCAGTATGCTGGTTGACGTTAACATCTCCGCGATATTGGACTCGTTCTCCGTCAGTTACGATAAAAGAGTAAGGCCGAACTACGGAGGTGAGTAGGGTGTTACCGATTTTTAACCGCCTATCCGTATAGTACGAATCATTCGACCACACACTGTGTGGTTTAATCGTCGATATCGTGGGCAAAACCGCGAAACCGACAATCGCCGCCACGTCGTTAATTTGTCTTCTCTGGGTCAGAAACGGGGATACGACGATCCATGGGGTAGGTAGTGTCCGTCAAGGTTTTGCCAACGATGCTCGATCACTTTCGCATTATACAGGGTGTAACAAAAATGTTGTCCGACCCGAAAATGGGGCACTCGAGGGGTGATTTGGAACAACTTTTTCCTTAGCGAAAATATAATCTGAGGCTTCGTTACCGAGATATTAACGAAAAACCCCAGCCAATCAGAGCGCGAGTCTGCCAGCCGAGTTCCCGCGGTAGCGGTGGCTACGCGCTGCGATTTGTAGCCAACGCTACCGCGGGAGCTCCACCGTCAGACTCGCGCGCTGATTGGTCGGGGTTTTTCGTTAATATCTTGTTAACGAAGCTTCAGATTAAATTTTCGCTAAGAAAAAAGTTGTTCCAAATCACCCCCCGAGTGCCCCATTTCCGGGTCGGACAACATTTTTGTTACACCCTGTATACCTGCTCGTCGCATTTAGTACGATGCACGGACTTGGCCGTATCGGGAGTCCTGTTCGCAGCGAACGGCAGCATCGAATCTCGAGAATTACTCGCGCGAATGATCCGAAAGACGTCAGGAATCACAAGCTTGGAGCAGCCTCGAAGTTTGTGACTACGAGGAAATCGACTCCACTCGCTGCGAATCCCCCGAGAAAAAACGCGTCTTCAACGTGTGCTTGGATTAATATGGAAAGAAATATGAACACAGGGGATCAGGGAAAGTGGTGGTTACCGGTGCTGGAATGTGTAGATCGATAACGAACACACGAATAACGTGTTAGTGGACAGAGGGGACCAATGAGGCGAAAGCAGATCGAGATTTCTGATACACCGAAAGGTACAGGGTGTCGTGTAACTGGTTGTATAACCGGGTAGAAGGTGATTCTGCATGAAAGAAGAAGTCGAAAGTATAAAACAAAATTGTTTCATTTGAGACTCCGTTCTCTGGAAAATCGACTTTGAAAATTAATCTAAAACACGTGCATTCGTCATGGTAGTAAATACAAACTGTTTATAATGAACAGACGCGCAAGCCATGTCCTATTCGATAAGTTTCCGCGTATCCACCAAGTTATCAAAGTCAATTGTCTGGAAAACGAGGTTTAGAATGAAAAAATTTTATTCTATATTTTTCACTTATTTGTTTACGTAGAATCACCCTGCATATACAGAATGTAACAACAATGTTGCAGGACCCTGAAATGGGTCACTCTTCAGGCGACAGGCCATCCGCCTTCGACTCAACTTAAAACATGTTGACGCTAATATACAGGGTGGTCCACGCAACTTGTTCACCCTGAATAACTTCTATAGTATGCATTGCATGTGTTACGAGCCAGGGTCGCGAGCAGTGCGAGAGGCCGGCGGAGTAGGTTTACCAAGGAATATGGTTAATCAGTTATTTTGTTTCAAGACGAATACAGTGACCTATTATGAAGGTCCATCAATGAGCTACACCTTGTTAACGAGGTACCACCTGTTGTAACGCAGCCTCTTTTGGTTCGGCGAGAGCTTTATTAAATGGTATTGAGTTATTAAAGGTTATCGAGTCTCCTCTTTATTTCGTGCGCAGACTCCTGTCGCGAGGAGCGACTTTCGTCCTGATCTTTGTGAACTCTGGCCGAGTAAGAGCTATCCAGCGCTGGCTTCTTTCCGTCCCGGTCGGCCGAACGGTTTCGGACTCCTACAGGAAAACGGATTATGGTACGGTATTCAAGGAATACCGATCAGCACTCGCGGGAATGGATGGAGCCCGGAATTTTGGTACAATATCGCAGGAACGCGATCGGTGGAACGGGGCAGGGAGGGGAAACTTTGTACGCGACCGGCCGAATTTTGCGTTTCTTTATAGAGTAAGCTTTTTTCATACGTTCTTACATGTCAACTTTGGTTGTTGGTTTTCGGCACAAAAACTAGATGAGAAAGAAAAACAAAAATTTGCTGCCAAGAAAGTTGCATAAAGTGTTAAAAAAAATTAAAAACAAAAAAAGGAATAGTTTTCATTTCGTTAATTTTGTTTAATTTTAATTTTGTTTTATTTAAAATATATATTTTCTATAAAACGTTTATATTAAACCAAAGTTAAATCCACTATGTTTGTTTTTAATGCACAATTTCCTAAATGTATAAAAGTAAATGTTTAAATGCTTTTACCAAATATATAACATATACATAATAATAGAATGCAATTTTCCCTTAGTGTTATTTATATATTAATTTATAATGTGTACATTTATAGATCTAGTTCATAATTTTTATTATTTTATTTATTTATAATTTTCTTTCTTTTATTTATTGCATTAAATTAAATTTGTTACGTTTTTATTTGAATTTTTACAACATAAAAGAAAAGTATCATGTTTTACTATTAAAAATCAGCTATGAATAATTTATTGAATGTTATGTCCAAACACTGGGACAGCTAAATTTAATCACTAGAACATACCGTAAATTCCACTCAATCACTCAGCCAAATGAACGCTTTTAGATATTCATAATTTTTAATACTTTTTTTCACGTGGGCGCTTTCTTATAACAACTTGACTGGAACAAAAAGGTCTGCTCTATCGATTGAATGTACTTTTCCGTCAATCTATATTATTTTAATGTATAAAAGGTCATCCTAACCGCAATCTTCGCCTTAAACGTCCTACCACTGGAACATTTACCTTATCTGGCGAGCGTAAGAACAAAATCCGTAAAGATCGGCGGAATAACGAATGAATAAGCGGTCCGAAAACGTTGATCGGGACACGACAAAGGGACAAAGCGCCGGTGACGACAATGTGGAGAAGGTAATACGCTCCGGGAAATATTTGTGACGCCGCTTACTCTTTCGTCACGGACGATACAGAAAAGAATATTCAGGACAATAGGGAGCAAGCTCGCGGACGTGTACTTTGCCGTCGTAAAAATTCTCGGCCCGGGGTCGGACACGAAATAAAAAGTTCTGTCATTTTTCGATCCGCTACCCGCCCGGCGGATGAATGATACGCGTTCGGTTCCGTGGATAAGTTTACGGGCGAGAACGCAATACGGTTGAGACTTTAATAACCGTAATAATGGGTAAAGAAATCGAGACTACATTTTATATTGCAGAAATTCAACGACAGTCCAATGGAAAATGTACACGTATAACCGAAGGATGTTAACAAAAATACAGTATAATTCCATTGATTAATTAAGTTTAATTATATGAACGGTTTATATACAAGGTTGAGTTTAACCCAGGAATATTCGTTTAACAACACCCCCTTGAAGTTCTATTTTTGTTAACGTTTTCTATAATGTATGTAGATTGGTACTTTATGGGCACCTTTGTATATTTCCATAATTCTATAATATCTAGATCCCAGAAGTAGAGTGCACTAATTGTAAGTGTACTTCGTTAAAAAAACTTACATTTTAAATGTTTTCCGTATCAAATACTTCACTTATTCCGACTGTAACAATTACAGTAAACCTTCGATTTACACTTGAAACTCGGAATCCCTTTGGAGCAGTTATCGCAGAGGGACACGCTTTTGGGCGCTTCATGAATTGCATTTTAGGCCGAGCCTTCAGTGTGGCACCCTCCAATAGTGGCGATGAAGCTTTAGCGTGGCGATCTCTCCGGGCAGTTATCGAGAATTTACTGTATTTCGTTCTAAGTCATTTAGTTTTGAATAGTATAACAATGGTATGAAGTCCATATCTTGTTGACATAATGTAATATTCATCATTTCTAAAATACATATCGAGACTTGTCTTAAGCCCATTTAATAGTTCGAAGGTAGCAATTGTTTCTCGTTGAACTCTTTCCAAACGATTACAAAGTTATAAGGTTTTTGCACCTTCGATTTGCTTTCCTATAAAATTTGAAAAGTGTGACTTAAAATACTCTGATCGTGAAGTCCACATATAAATTTCATACAAGGACAATAGATTACCCTTATCTTTATACTCTGTTCAATACCGATGCAAATAATTACTGAAACATTCCGTGAATATTGACAAAACAATTGCAATATTCGCTCAAATCTCGCCTTCGTACGAAGTCACTACCATTTCAGATATCGTCTGACCAAACCCAGTTCAGTAACAACAGTTCACGGTAAATTGATTTTCCGAGGAACCCTGATCCAAAGAAGGGTACACGGAAGTTTTCAATGTTCATCGACAAATGTCAAAAACAAGACGGAAGTTGGTCTTATTGTCTAGCCATCCGCAAGGCCAAGGGGAACGCCAGCTGACGTCGAAGAAACCGATAGCCAAAATTTGTTTACGGTTGCAAACAGCCACGACCGAAGTGAATGGATAGGGGAAAGCTGCTGGTGTATAGCTCCATAAAAGGGAATCGGTGGTTTTCAATTCCTGCGATGAAGTCAAATTTTCGACTGGGTCCCGGCAGCGGTGGCGGCAGGGCGGGGCTGGGAGAGCTCGCTTCGATAAAACTTGGATCGATGCTGGGACGCGGACCCGGGTTGCCACGGGTTACCGTTAACGGCATCTCTCCGCTTCTTCCGGCCACGCTCCGCCACAGTTCTTTTCCTCGATTACAATTTCAACATTGATTCTGTCAGCGGAACCGTCTCCGCTGTCACCGATCCCTGGCCGCGGGGCGTTCTCGAATTCCCGCTTTTCTTCTGACGCCGCGCCGGCCCCGTTCGCGAGAAAGACAGCCGCCACCGTTGCATTCTTCCACGGAGATCAACCGGGGGTGCTCCTTTTCTCGTAGAATCGTGGAACTTTCTGCTGCGAGCGTTCGACATTCAAACGTGACGATTCGATTCGAGGCTATTTGAGATGCGAACGATCAAAGAATTATGCTTACCCTTTGAGGAAGACTTAGAGGGGTGATTTCGTATACTGAAGGGTGTAGC